ACGCAGCTTAACGATGTGCGTAAGTGCAACGATATCCATGTCACTGGCGATATCATGATGAGGCGCCAGTTGAGGCGCCGGCGCACGCTATTTGCCAATCGACGGACTGATTGATGGCGTGGCAGCGACTCATATATCAAATCCGCATGTAAATGGCCAGACAGACGGGGGAAGGGTGAGAAATAAAAGGGAGACAGCGAGACAGACTGTTCGACTGTCTAAAGGGCAGACTGTTTGGCCACACGCAAAGCAATTTAAAAAACCATTTGTCGGCATAATGCGTTCAAAATCCGAGGGAGACAACGGACAGCGGAGATGCCACCCCAGATAGAAGTGGCACATTTTCCAAATAAGACATAGGCTGCGACACGCCACATAAAACGATGGCGGTGTGAAATAAAACCATTTCCGTTTTGCCACGCCCAAGAATCGGAACTATCTCTGTTCACATGCGTGTAACAATTCATGTATGTTGGTCCGCTGCTGCTCAACTGGGCGTTAAAAATTCAATTTACACAATTTTGAACGCAATTAAATTGGAGCTGCGTCCCCCCATCTTATTCATTCGTATTCCTTCATCGTTGAGGAGCACGCAAAGTTGCTGCTAGTTTTTATGTGTTTCACATTTTGTGGGCTTGATGCGTGGGCTGGTCGCAACTTTTATGTTCATATTTTATGCATTAAGTACTCTATTAAATTTTTTGTTGCCACTCTTCGGCTAAGCCATTTTACCATGAGCAACATGAACATTCTTGTACATACTCACATGCATTCACATACATATACATATATGTACATATACATACATATGTATATATGCTTTTGGATGACCCTCAGAGTTACTGCGGGTGGTGCTTGTTTATTGTGTGGTTTCTTTACGAATTTATAGGGTGCTTGACATGTGAGTTTTATCGCCAAAGCGGCGTATGCACGATATTTATTTGATTTTGATAACACCACACATATAGAGGAGAGATAACTTAAGATTGTTGCACAATGTGTTGCATGAGAGTTTTATATGATGTTACAGTTTTTTTTTATCAATTTATTATTTTATTTATTATTATATGCAGACCAAAAACTAATTTCCAATAGAAATGTTTTTTGCCTTAGTTAACTAATTATTTAAAGTATTTTGCTTCTTTAACATATACCAAAGATATTAAAAATTTTCATATTCTCATTATTACTTTTAAGTACGCTGTAATGTGATAAATATAAACTAAAATTCTTTACTTATTTTGTAGTTTCACATGTACGCTTTTCAAAACAATTCATAGATTATAATTTTTTTGTATTTCAAAAAGCATAACATTTTTTTTTTGGTAATCTATAATAGCGATATTTTATTTTTATCTGCTTATTTACTCAATTTGGTTTAAGAAAAGCACACACTTTTTAAAAATAAAAATTTTGAAATGAAAGTTAATGTTACAAATTACACGATTTTAAATTAATCGCGTCTAAGTAAATTAGAATGGAAATTAAAAAATAAAATAAAGGATATAATAAAAATAAACATTCATTTATATATTATCAAGGCGACGTTAAATGAAATACTTTCATTTTGAAATATGAAAATAAATGTTATTTGAAAGTAGAGTATATGAAATTGCACAATTTTAAAACATTTGCACGCTTGCTGTTGTATTCGCTATTCTTTGCATGACGCTTTTGATGACCTCAGATGACATGAAATGGCACGGGAATGTAACGGAAATCGGCTTAAAATTTACTCGGCACTCGCACACAAATACATAAGCATACACACACACACACACATAAGCACACACAAAGCGTGCGTGATTTATGGCCTACCATGCAGTGGGTGCCTGTTCTCGCAGCGGCAAACACTTTCTGAAGTCGGCCAACAAAACAGAGTTATGGCCTGCGTCAGCGACTTATGCAACTAATGCAACTGAACGTCGTCGTGGCGCAAGTGAAAAAAGTTATTTACGGGAAACTTCCACAGCGGAAAGTGGGGCGAAGGAAGCATTGTTGGTTTTGAGCCTACCTTGCGCACTTTTTAAATCATTTTTCGTTATATTTCTATTCAAGATTTTATTTTTTTTCTCGTTCGGCACAACTTGGCTCAAGTTGGCAGCCATTTTGCATTGTGCAATGCGAGTCAATGGAATTAGGGTAGCCGGCGGGAGGTGAGATTGGTTGTGTTATTTGCAAATTATGTTACTTTAGTCAACTCGAATAAATCTTGGGCGAAATAGCGGGCCACTGCTGCTCTTGCCCACACACACAAATCACAGGCAAATTAGTTACCAACTCTGGCAAAAACTTGTTGAGCTGCAAGTTCGAGTACTACTATGTGTATGGCCAAAACTTGACGCTAATGAGTAAATGTGGCAAAAGTTTAAATTAATTTTTGAAATGTGCTGCTGCTGACTGTTTAGTGCAAGCGTCCCACCTACAGCGATAGAGCCAACAATTTCCATTTCTTTTATGGCCACGACTCTTTAATTATATTTTCGACACTTGCTGACCCCTTGACCTATCCGCCCGCTGGCTTCGAATTTGAGTATTTATATGGCCACAAAGTCATGTGCTCTTCAACTGTGCACCTAACTCAGTTACAGGGCCAAGTTGACCGATGGCTGCTATTCAATATCAAAAACATCGCCGGCAGGCCATTCAGTCAGTGTTTGTCAAAAAAGAGGACCACAACCGGGTCAACAACATGTTTTTAATAAAAAAATAAATAAAGTAGATGCTAAATACAAAAACTGACAAAGATGATTACACACTTTATCTGCCATCCAGTTTCCCCTTTGTTGTATTTTACTTTTATAGCTCTGTCAGTGCAATTAATTTGAGAGCAAATCAAATAAATTGGTAATAACGTTTAATGACATGTATTTATGGAAAAGTCGTTTGGCTTCAAGTGATTACAAACGCTTAAAATGACAAAAAGGACATTTTTATAATGATTATTTGCGTTCTGAAAAGAATATTTATTATATAATTCTTGAAATTATTGTTGACAAATTAATAAACGCACATTTCCCAAATAAAATAACTGTTTTTTGACACCCATTCAAAATATGTATATCAATTTTATTAAGTTTATAACAGGTATTTAATCAATCAATTTGATTTTAATATATACGTACATAAATATTTTGCTACAGCAAATAACAGAATGTCACACAGGACTCAAAGAAATCAAACTAAATTTTCTAATCAATGCGATTGCCATTTGCACTCAAGAAGAGCAACCGATGGGATATTAAGGACAAGCTGTATTCAATTAAATCAAATTAAATGCACGCAATGTATTGGTGATAAACTCAGTCCCGAAGCAATTTCATTTTGTATGTGCAGGTGAACCTTAAATATGGCTTAATATGTATATAGTGTATGTATATAGATGGATGTGTAACTGGTAACTCCGTTAACCTGATTGAGCCTTTAGCAATATCGATTGACTTGGAGCTGCTGCTTGAACACTCTCTCTTGACCAAAATGCCTGGCAGCAAATTGTGCCTAAACTTATTTAGGCATAATTGTATATTAATTTGAACGCTTCGATTGCCTTTCCGATATACTGAACAATTGTGAGTGTGTGCAGCTTTTGACAGACGCCTTGGGCGCTTCGGCTTATATAGCAAAATATGTGAATGTGTTTGTGTGTGCGTGTGTGCTTCTCGCTATTTTGTTTATGTTGCGCACTTTTGGCTCAACTAGATGTCCTTTCGCTGAATATGCGTGTGTGCGGGCGAGTACACTGTGAAAAAAACCTATGCTAACTAAAAAAAAATAATGGGAATCACTGGAATTTTGAATGTGTACCTTTGAATTAAGAAATTACTAAGATGTATTCTAGAAAGTAAAATAGTCTACCTATCATTGGCATTTCTGAATTGTTGAGTGTTTTTTGTTCACAGTGTGTGTTTGCTTTGGGGAGCCGTTGATGCTTGGCTGCGTCGCCTTAGCTGTCAATCACAACTGGCTGACAAATTGCTTTTGGACTCGACTGACGTGTTGACAGCAGCACGCAGTTCTATTTGAAGTCCTTGTCAACCCTCCCAGTATGATAGTTTTTCTCTTTTGAAGTGAAAACTTCTAATAATTGCATTGAAAAGCTTTGATGACCTGACATTAACACTGTTGCAAACCTTTGTCGCAGCTAATGTGCCGCAAGCATCCTCATTGCGTGGAATGAGTTTTGGCAAGTGCTGCCGAGACACATTGTCAGTTTTCCAGTTGAGAAAACTAAGTCAAATACCAGTCCAGGTGCAAAAAAAAAAAGGATGCGTTGAGTTTAATGTCGCACAAAGCAGAGTGAAAGTTGCATCTGACGTTTTGCTTTAAATGTGTGTAAGAAAAAGAAAATGTAAAGTAAAGGAAACAAGGGAATAGAAAAGAGCGACAAGAGACATCGTTAGAAAAGTACTTTCACTTACTGTCATTCAAGGTTCCCTTGGGATACCTCTGAGTTTTTAGTTCGACGTTTGCATTTGTGGCGACCACAGAAATTCTGCGCCAGCTTTTAATGTGTGTAGTTGGTTAGTTTGCCTTTTGTTTCGTTTTGCGTAAAAGAGGAGTTCACTTATACAGATATGCGGATAGCATTCATTTTGGCCACGAGAACCAATAAACAAATAATATTCCCATATGATATTTGAGTGAAGGCGCATTCGATTTTTTCGAAAGTTTTTGACAGCGGTTTATTTGCTTAAAAGCTAATGAAAGACACATATACACACCTAATATGTGTATCGATTGATGCTCATGTGTAGATGCAGAACTCCAATTATCTACAATTTCTCATTACTTGGGGTTATCTACATTTCCGTCTTCGATGTTGCCTTCGTTTTAATTATCAAACAATTTTGGACATTGAAGATTGCTCTACAATCTCCAGACTGAGCCTACATGCGCAACTATAGGTAATGCGAGCTTTAAGAACAGGAAAAATCTAGGCTTTCCTCTGACAAGCTTAAAACGGATCGCCATCGTTGCAGAACCGAGTTCCGAGTTTAATATTAAAGAAGCATATAAGTATTTATTCACGTAAATATCAATTTTGTCACCATCATGGGTTAGAGTTACAAGGATGATTACGAAGGTGATTAACAAGGACCACAAGGACCACAAGGAACTTGAGGACCACAGGGTCCAACAGGTCCGCAGTGCGTATTCCATGGCGTTGGCGCGCAAGGATAACAAGGACCACACTCGGGCGATTCGTAGGGGCAGGGAGGTGAGCACGGACCGCATGGTCCACGTGGACCACATGGCCCATTCGACAAGGGTCCGCAACCCGATCCGCACGGACCACAAGGTGCGGGTATAAATGGACCCGATGGCATTGTCAATCCACATGGTCCACAATTTGGTACAGCACAAGTTCCACCACAGGGCCCACAAGGTCCACATGGTCCACCTGGTCCACAAGGGCCTGGTCCACAGGGTCCACACCCTCCACGGGGTCCACATGGTCCACACGGTCCACCAGGTCCGCATGGCCCGCAGGGTCCGCAACGTGTCTCGCACACTGGATACTGATTCGTGGAAAAGCAGGGAAGTGGGCAACAGGCGCCACCCGGAGCACATGGTCCGATTGGACAAGGTGGACAAGCGGCACTTGGCTTATAGTTAATCGGTCCGTTTGGGTAACAACAGTATTCCCTTGGCGGAGGTATGTCGATAGTTTGTGGCTTGGGTTGACACAGTATCGACTGGCAGACTTCTCGCGGCTCACAAATCCGCTTTGGATAGCAGACGACATACGGATCTGGTATCATCGATGGGTAATATATCACTCGAGGCTCGCGAACCATTTGGGAGACCCAAATAAGTTTTGGCACCTTAATGACCCTGGTAGCATCCACAACTTTCGGAACCGTTATTTGCCTGCAACGATTCACGACCATTGGCTCCGGCACGATCTTTTCCGTGAAAACCACTCGCTTCTTGCAGATGAGGCGGGGGGGCTGTTGTACCGTTATGCATTTGGGAAATGGTGGCGGAATGCGTGGTGCACACTGTGGCAACGCCTCCAGCTGAGCTGAGTTGTAACATTTTGGAGAGCACTCAAAAGGTCCACAGCAAGGATCACAGGGGCTGCATGGTCCGCAAGGAGAACACATTATTCGAATAAAATAAAAAAAATTTGTTTATTTTAGTGAAAATAAAATTTTTGTAAAAAAATTTTCTGTTACAATTTGGATGCCGATCGAATTGAAAATGATATTTTTCACACACTCTAAAAATTGTTCAGTCTCATTTTTGTATCAAATATTCACCAGCTACTAGATTGTTTGCTCCATTAACTCTATTCCAGGGCTGAATTGTGATTAAGTGTCTTGTGTAGTGGCTTTACAAAAATGGCCGGAAGTCTGCGCTAGGTGAGTATCATATATCACATGACGTCATTATTTAATTTTGCTGAGGAGCAGCGAGAGACGATGTTGAAGTCGAAGCCCAACACCTCGTCGAGGTCAGAGTCCAGGGCGGCTCATCAGACTGTCGCCCGCCTTGATCTGGTGGAGAGTGTGACATAATGTGATAAATGACGATTTTATAATCGTTTTTATATATATGTATATGTGTATTTGAGTATGTATGTCTCAGACTGGAAAGCAGTCAGCGTCTCTGGTCACTGGCCAACTTTTCTGCTGGCCAAGCCTGGCCGACGTGTTTCTGTCACGGCTGGTGCTGAAAAGACAAGACATGGGCTGCGCTGCTTTGCATGTACCAGCATTTTTGGGCTTAGCACAGTCCATGATACCGGAATGGACTGTCCGGCCCAATCCTTTTTGCACATTTTCATTTCGTTTCAAAAGTTATCTTGCTTGTATGTATATATATGAAAATGATAAATTATCGTTTGTCTAGTTTTTGATGCAATATGATGCCCTTGTCGTCTTCGCCTGTTGTTTGCGATGTCCTATGCAGCGTCCTCTGATTCGGTCCTGAGTCCGTCTCCGTCTATGTCTCTGTCACCGCCCTAGTCTCGTCCCAAAAATTGTTGATTAATTGAATTTCACTTTGAGACAAATAGAAATTTCCATTTCGTTGGCATGCAGACAACGGTTTGCTGTGACATTTTCTGGGTAGGTATATTTAGTCAAAAATTGAATTATTACCAAGGAAATTTGAGTTTAATTTAATTTATACAATTTTGGAAATTATTTTATGTTTTGGGATAAAAGACACACATATTAACTAACACTAGCAACTTAAAATATTAATTGCTCATCAAAAAAATATGTGTATCTACATAATTTCAATAAAATATAAACGAAATAAAACTAAATTCCGGTGTAAGGTAAATGCTAAAATTTGGAATATCTTGGAATATCTTATTTAAACAAAGATTACTTAAGTCGCAATATATGAAAATATATTATAAGTTTAAATTGACCTTTTAACACATGGCATAATAATAGCACAAAGACAATTTTAGCTCAAGCAATATGATCTTATTCTATTTCGATTGGGTTATGCTTTAAAATGGTGGCTTTTTGCTATTCGAATTTGATGTGTATCTATATTTGTAAAGCGGGGGCAGTTATCGATAAAATGAAATAAATTTAATTTTAATTTTCTTTGGGTATACCAGAATTTTTATTCCCTACTTGAAGTCTCTAGCTCTCATAGTCTCTGAGATTGAACATAAAGACGAACAGACAGACAGACGGATCCTGATCATGAATATGTACAATTGGTACTTTCACATGATTTTTCACAAAACAATGAAACCATTTTTGACCTTTTAATTTAATGGAATCAAAGTATAAAAATAACCAAAATAATTTATAGAGTAAAGACTGAGCGGAATAATTCTTATACTGAGCAATGACTGTACTTGGACAAGGATTGCACTTGGTGTAAGTAAGCAATTTTGTTAACAATTTTCATAAAAATCCCATCATAATAGAAATTTGAAATCAAGTCTCGGAGCGAGCTGCGTATAATGTCAATCAATGTCCATAACCATATCACCATCAGCTTCAGCTTCAACATCAACATTCACATCAACTTCAACATGAAACATTTTCATTACCGTCTTCGCGTCTTCAACGTGAATGCCATTAAAGTGCATTTTAAAATAGAGTAATAAATATTTATTTAGCTGTGTGAAATGGCAGCCAGCCAGCCAGTGTTGGGGCAACTTTTAAGGGGGCGTGCTCGGTTGATTGCCAGCCCCATATCGTAATTGCAGATAAACTTTATGCCATTAAGCTTAGCGCTGATGTCTAGTTGCCCGTGTCTACTTCTGCACCCGTGCAAGCAAAACTGCAAAGTGCTCTTGAAACATTTCCAGCCGGTTCCATACCCACAGCCCACCTTCCATATTAATGTTAGTGTGTGGGTGTGTATGCTTCCTGCTGTAGCATGCACCAGTTTGTGCTTTTTGTGTCTTCAACAACATTACAACTGGTGCTGTAACGAAGCTATAACGAAGAAATATGCAGAATATCGAGAATTAAGCACCGCCCTACCCTCGTCCCCGCAAAAACCTCATGCGTTTGCCTTTATTAAACTTGTGCCCAAGCATCAACAAAATGCATTAAACTTGGTAAATATCGTAAACTTGCTGACAACATTCTTCGATCATTGCCTGATTGGAGCTATATGTGCTTTATATGTGTTCGGACCAAGTTTAAACTATTAATTTACAACAAATTGAATAGATTAATAATTAATGTATGGAAGAGCGAATTGCAAGACTTTCCTTAGGAAGCGAATAGACCAAAAAAAAACCTCTGGAAATCAGAATAGAATATTTGTTGCTCTAATTGGGAGACATCGCCTATGGATCAGAAGGGAAACAGAAATAAGACTAGAAATATTATCAATGTATTTAGTTCTGTTTAAATAAGTATTTTATTATTTAGTGATTCATTATTTGGTGACACTAAATTGCTGTATATTTCTTGTTATATTCGGTTGTTATTTGGTTGGTCAGCCAAGCTGTGAAAAAACTGACAAAAGGTTTATGTTCCGAGAAACGCGACAAAGCGAGTTAAGCAAAATAAAAACACAAACAACAACACAGCTTTGACACCACATCGGAATATTGAATAATTAATACAAGTAAATCAACTTTACGGAGAACAAAAAGTCACGTCATCTAGTCTCAAACTGATAACAATTTCTCTTTTAAATTATTCAGTTTGTTATGGCGAACTTTTTGCACTTATTAATATTATCTTATATACTGTTAACAAGTGGAAAATCATAATCAATTCTGCCCATTCACAATTTATTTCCATAATCAAGGCTAAATTAATTATTCCCACTCCCGCATCTGCATTTTTTTTATTATTAACAATTATCGGATCTGCATCTTTCTTTCTATTAGGAAAAAGATCCCAAAAATATTTCGATGATTTTTAATACTTTGCGTTCTAGCTGGAGGGAAAGGATATTTTAAATTCCCTTGTAAACCGACATAAAATGGCTAATATGTAAATTATTGTTCGGAGTTTAAAATATACATATATATAAATATATATATTTTATAAATTTATATTCTACATTTCTGCTTTTGGCAAATATTTGAACAACGTTTTTTGTTTTACACAAATATTTGGAAAATACAATTACATCTTACAGCATGAAAAAAAGCAGGTTTGCCAAGGGACATAGCTTTGTTGGATAATTTCAGTTACATTTTCCAAACTCTCAGTTTTGAATCGTATGTCCTATAAATCCCAACTCATGTGGCAACAGAAACGAAGAGCGTTGCCACTGTGTTAAATTGGTTACCTAATAACTGTAATTAGCTGGCAGTCACAAAGTTATGACTGTCAGTTAACTAACGTTACGTTATGTAATCTAATGTAGCACACTTATGCCTGGGGCCATTGCTCATTTTAACGACTGTGGCTGTCGAAATAAACTTTCGCCACGTGATTCAGCAACATCCACGCAGCAGCCACATCAATAACTAATTTTTCATAATTAATGTGTCGGTTTGTGTGATGTCCGCTTGCCATATTTACACTGTATAAAACAAGCAGGCATGTACCTGTATGTGTGTGTGCGTGTGTGTGTGTATGTGTGCGGATACTTGTGTAATGCACTGTGTACCGTTTTATGTTCATGATATCAGCATTTGGGGCTTGGATGAGGATGCCGTAATGCGATTCAATGTTTTTCGTTACTGCGCTGCCATATTCCACGTTGCGACTGAACCCTTGTAGAAAAATTAACCGTTTCATGTTTGCCCATATTCCGGTTGGCCGGAAACATCAAATATTCACGGCTAAATCATAATCATAGCAGCGATTATCTAAATAATACTCTTTACAGTTACTGTTCCTGCACCTCAAGGATTACTGAGCCAGCAACCGAAAGACACAAGAGAAACATTCAACCATATCTTAAATTGAATTGAATTAAATTATAGTTTAAGCCCATTTAATAAGGGTAAAATGATTAAAATGGTTTTGTGTAAAAGTGTGTAAAAGACAGAAAGAAACATCTCTGTCTCCATAAATTATATACATATATTCTTGATTAGAGTCCACAGTCGAGTAGTATATCATTGTCCGTCTATACGAACACATTGATATCCGTCGCTTTAAAAGCTAGAGATTTCAAATTTGGAATATACATTTTATTGATAACTGCCATCGTTTTTCCAATATTAATACATATATATTATCGCTTGAGACCATTTCATTTCAATTCATAAATTATTTACTTTCACATATTATTGACCAATTGTAATTTTAAGCAATATCGAAAATTTAGCAATAAAAAATAATAATATATTTAACAGCTTGGCACAGCCTATCTCGTAGTCGAGCTCACGCGATGACTACATTCTTCATTCATTGAATATTCAAATATTAAATACACTAAATCACTAAAAGGTATTCCATAAATTTAACAACAACTTAATTTTTAAAAACTGAAATATTAAAACTAAAATTGTAAATACTATATTTATTATTTAATTATTTCCTGAATGCAAGAAATTTTTTAAATTTACAAGTCCAAAAACCATTTCAAATCCAGATTCCGGCATGTCTTTATGTCGACTCTGTCAAATATAATATATATGCATATAATAGCTGCTTTTGGTCAGTTTAAAAGCTGATTTCATTTGCTGCTACCTACTCTTTCCAATCGTCAGAACTAAGCTCGTTTTTAAGCCTCTTAACTGTTGGGGTTAGCTTTTGAACTGCATCAGGTGTATGTCT